TTTAGGGTTTTGGATGGACGGAGGGCACCTCTAAAAGGGCGAAGGAAAAGAGGAGGGGTGTTTTAAGGGTTCCTTAGGGTTCTTAGGGTTTTAAGGCGAAGGATTGGGTGGCGGTTTTAGGGTTTAGGGTTTAGGGTTTTGGATGGACGGAGGGCACCTCAAAAAGGCGAAGGAAAACCGGGAGTTACGTATTTGGGTTTAGGGATTAGGGTTTAGGGTTCGAAAGGGGCGTTGTTAGGGTTCCTTAGGATTCATAAGGTTTTGGGTTTTGGGGGTTCAAGGATTATAGGATTTAGGGATTATACGGTTTAGGGTTTAGGCGTTCTAGGGCTCTCATGGGATAATATGTCGTGCGGATGTTTTTTTTTTATAAGGGCTTTAGGATGAGGGTCTTTCCGTTTTTTTGCAGGCTTTCTGTGGCTTTAAAGATGTCTACAGGAGTCGGGTACCCGGCAATGGAGCCCAACACGCTAATCCATGCAACCCTGAAGCCCTACCACCCCTGAGCTCTGAAACAATAAAGCCCTACCCGAAGACTCCCTAAGACCCTAAAGCCAAAACCCTAAAGCCCCACAACCCATGAGATCCAAAAGGACCGACAAGGAGGGTTCTTTGTCTGAGGGGAGTTGATAGCAAGTTTAGGGTTTTTTTAAACATCTTTTAGGGTTTAGGTACATTTGGGCGAGAATAAGCTCATCCGGTACTTGGGCACTTAAGCCCAAGAGCCCGATAGAGATCTTCCAACACCCCATCAAGCATATAAAGTCAATGGTAAACCCTCGATGGGCCCGATGGCGTCTGGCACCACCATCCCTGTTGAAAATCGCTACAGCACCCTTCTCTTGAACTAGTATAGAGCACCTTCCAATATCCCTCGCGGAACCCCCAAACCAATGCCATACTCTCAAACCCTGCTGAAAGTCTTAAAGCTCTCATAATAACCCTTACTAAGCCTTACTAACAACAGACGAAAACCTGAAACAAGCACCAAGGAATGCGTAAGAAGCCCGTGTGCTTGCCTCAATCCTGGGCCCCAAAATCCTAAAGCCTCTACCACAAAACCCTGAAGCTAAAACCTTAAAACCCTAAACCCAAACCCAAAACCCTCCCCTTAAACCCGAAATCATAACACCACTAATGCCTAAGTCCTAAACCAACAAATATCCCCAACACCCAAAAACCCCTAAGCCCCCAGAACCACAACTCCCCTACAGTCGTAATGTTGGTTTTTAGAGTAGGGGTTGTTGGGGTCCTTTTTGTATAGTTATAATGAGGAACCCTAATAATTAAGGGATAGTATAGGTAGCTATTTGGGCTTCTATATTACGACCCTAAACCACAAAATGCCCAACAAACCTGCCGCCTTCGATTCTTTGCAGGCCAGAAACGTGGGGAGATCCTCCACCGAGCGCTTGGGACCAACCTCCTCCTGTGGCCGAACCTGGAATTTTTCAGAGGTTTTATTTCAGAGGTTCTATCTATCTACATACAAATAGACATATAAATAAGGATAAATAAATAAATAAATATAAATATATATATATATATATAGATAACTCATCTGAACTAGGAGTCCTTTTAAAAGGTCCTGTATATTAAGGGTAGCGTACTAGTTTGCGGACCTGCTAGTTTAGAGAACTACCCATAGGGCACGAATTGGGTTTTCGTGGGGTTCTATCTAACTATCTATATAGATAGATAGGTAGGTAGATAGATAGAGAGAGTGGGAGGGTTTCAACAAGGCTTTGCAGGATTTTGTGGAGGGGCGTTTCAGAGTTCAGCAGAGTTTGTTTTGGGGGTTGCGAAACGACATGTGAGTGGGTTCTCAGGGTTCGTGACTTTCAAACGATTTAGGCTTAAAGACTCTTGGAGCTAGTTCTGGGTCAAGGGCTCTTAGATGTAATCGGCGCCAATCCGATATTCGGGCTTGGAGCACTTGAAGGAATTTATGCCGGAATTCCAAGCATGGGTAAGCATCAGATGCAATTAGGGCTTAGAGTTCAACAAATTTGTCGGCTAGGCTTTCTGCCGCTGTGCCTCAGAAGATCGGTATTTTGAGCACGAAACTAAAAACCAGAGGATGCTCGTGCTGATTGAAGATTTGATGTGAATCTCTTCGAGGTATCTTGCTCGGGAGCTCTATCTATCTATCTATCTATCTATCTATATAAATTATATATATATATATACATATATATATATATACATAGAGAGAGAGAGGACCCTGAACCCTAAACACTGAACACTAGTGTAGGTGCCTTAATGATTAGAACAGGGTTTGAGATTTACAAGGAGCCCTAAACTCGTATTCATTCTTAAGGCCCCCTATATCATACAAGCCCTAAAGCCCAACCCTTATAAGACACTCCTGCTGTTGATGATATAAATCCTGCAGTACCTTAGGGACCCTAAACTATGGAAACTATGGCTTCAATAGTCCTTAGCCTTACTACTATGGGTAACGCAGATTTTTTTATCATCTAAACCCTAAACCCTAAACCCAGCCCCTAGGAATTGAATCTTGGCCATGCCTGCGTCTCCGGAGGAGGCCTCTGCCAGTCGCGCCGGCAAGATTCCTGCGCCTCTACGGTTTAGGGTTTAGGGTTCAGGGTTTTAGGGCTTAGGGTTTAGGGTTCAGGGTTTTACGGTTTAGGTTTAGGGTTTTAGGGCTTAGGGTTCAGGGTTTTAGGGTTCAGCGTTTCGGCCATGGACAGTCCGGGAACGTATCTACGTGAATGCCACTCTTAGCTGCCGACTTCGTAAGACCCAAGAATGGTAAACTCTCAGCATCGCGATCAGTTAGTTCTGTAGGGAATAAGACCACCACCTAAAGTGCACAGACAAATTCAGCTACTAAGCACGCTGGAACCCAAACAACTACCCGAGACCCTGACTGTCAACACTCAAGACCTTGCCCAACTGGAACCACCCGAATTCGCCCCAGAATACCCGTTTTCTGAAACCGCAAAACCCGCCAAACCCTAGACTCTGAACCCAGCTGCCTAAACCCTAAATCTGAAATGCAACACCTGCCAATCCCGAAACTCTGAAACCCAGCTCCCTAAATTCTAAACCCTAAGACAGGGCTTGAGCTTCCGGGTTTGGGGTTTGGACTCTTGCGCTCGGGACTCGACAGGCGAGTCTAGCTCGGTCGGAAGGCAAGACGCATTGGCCCTGATTTCTGCCGAGTTTCCTACGAGTTTTGGGGTTTGGGGGCGGGGGAGTTGTAGGGCCCCCAAAAATGACACATAAGTAAATATCAGGTTCGGGGCATCACATCTAAACCCTCTTATGTATGAAACCAGGTAGGGATATCCATATACAAAGCTTATGCTTATATCCTTATTGGGTTCTAGTGGCCCCCAGTCCCTGCAGCCCTCAAAGCTCCGACACCTCGCACAACGCTTCCAGAAACCTAATTCTCCAACACCCTTTTTTAGCTTCTAAGCCGTTGCACAACGCAAAAAGATCCAGCGAAAAACCCTAGTAGGCTAGAACCCTGTTCGGAGAAATGGTCCAAACCCTTTTGCAGCCTGGCCTCCTCAGATTTGGTAAACCCTTCAATGCCTGAACCCGTCCAGCCCTGTAAACCCGAAGCCCTGAACACAAAACCCTAAGCCCTCAGCTTTTAAAACACCCTAAACCCCCACAACCCCCAAACCCCAAAACCCTTACAACCCAAAACCCTAAGAACCCCTAAGCCCTAAACCCTAAGAGCCCTAAGAGCCCTCAGAACCCTAAAGAACCCTAAGAACCCACCCAAGCCTCCGTGGGATAGGTGGCCAAGGGCCCCCTGGGATCCTCGGGGCACGGCTGGTACGCGTAGGGAGTCGGCCCACAGGGTGCCTGGGAGAAAGGGGTTTAGGGGTTTAGGGTTTAGGGGTTTAGGGGCTCTCAGAATTTTGGAGGGCTCCTCTTTAAGGGCACGTTTTTTTGGCTAAAGTACTTTAATAGGGTTCTAGTTCTATAAGGGGGGAGAAAGGCTCTTAGGATTTTGACGCTTCCTCTTTAAGGGCACTTTAAAGAGTACTTTATAGGGTTCTGTACTGGCGAGTTCCCTTTAGGGGTACTTATGGGGTTCTATAATGGGGGTCCCGTTAAAAGGCTCTCAGGATTTAGGGTTCAGGGGTTCAGGGGTTTAGGGGTTTAGGGTTCAGGGTTTAAGAGTTCAGGGTTTAGGGCTCAGAGGGTTAGGGTTTACAAGGTTTAGGGTTTAGGGTAGGATGGGCGGTTCCTTTCAGGGCCCGTTTTGAAAAAATACTTTATAGGAGTCCACCCCAGAACCCTCTAAACCCTAAACCCCTAAACCCCCTAAGCCCCCTGAACCCCCTAAAAACCCTAAACCCCCATGAGCCTCTAAACCCTATACCCAAACCCCCATAACCCCCTAAACCCTAAAAACCCTAAACCCCCTAAACACCAAAAACCTTAACCCCCCCCCCCCATAACCCCCTGAACCCTAAAAGCCCTGAGGATCTAGGTTAGCCTTTGGCGACTTTGGGCTCGGAGGATTAGCTTGGAACTGGGGGATTTCAAGGCTGAAACTAGGGCAATAATTAGGGTTTAGGGTTTAGGGGTTTAGGGTTTTAGGGTTTAGTACACCCTTAGCCTAGAATGAAATCCGACAAAACCTGTAAACAAATCTATCCGAAACATGATCCCAGGAGCTGGCATTGTGTGACCTCGGGTCCTTAGCTGCTGAGTTCAGAAGCCCCGACAAGCCTAAACCTTCAGTTCAAACGGGGGATCGTCTTATCCAGCAAAAGGGAACAAAAAGATATTACTTCAGCTGCTCAGGGTCTCTTCATGGGCCTGACGATAGTACTGAGGGTTGGGCTCGCATGGATGGGGCATCATGTGGGTCCGGGGCTCCTCGGGGGAAGGGTGGTAATACCCGGCACCAGGCTCGCATGGGGGCAGTGGCGGAGGATGGTAGAAGCCACCTGGGGCCGGATGATAGAATCCCGGCCTGGGCTCACATGGAACGGGCATCAGGGGTGCTCGGGGGTCCTCCGGGGGTGGATGGTAGAATCCGGATCTGGGCTCGCACGGAACTGGCAGCAGGGGTCTTCGTGGCTCCTCTGGGGGAGGAGCATGGTAGAAACCATGAGGGGGCTCGCAGGGCATTGGCACGGGGTGTGCATGAGCCTCCGGGGGTGGGTAGAATCCGGGCGTCGGCTCACATGGAACTGGATGGGGGGGAGGGCACATGTGGGGATCGTGCAAAGGAGGATGAGGGTAGAAACCGTGAGCGGCTTCGCATGGAATTGGTGGAAGGGGCATCGGTGGTGCGTGAGCATGGGGCTGCTCTGGGGGAGGATGATAGAACTGGGGGTTTGCCTCACAAGGGACGGGGTGCGGGGGAGGGCACATCTGCGGATCGTGCATGGGTGGAAGAGGCGCGGGCGCCTGCATCCACGGCTCCTCGTACATTCTGTAAGGCAAGTATGCTTCATCAGCTCCTGCATAGCAACCGGGTGGGGGCTCGCACGGGACTGCAGGCCGAGGAGGACACAGCCCTGCATCATGCCTCAGTTCATCATCACGTGAACTGAAACTTAGGGGCCGAGTACCTTAGCCCCAAAAAGGTTAACCTTTTGAATTATAGTAGGATTACATAAGCCCTAAAAGGTTAAACGTTACCTACTCAGCCCCTAAGGAAGGCCATCGATGGCTTTGGGCTTGGGCTTGGGCTTCCCAGGGCCGAGGGCCCAGAGTTTGGAGCTGAAGTCTTTGTAGTATAACACAGTGATTAGCCGACTTACGAACAAGATCAGGGTTTGGGCTATTTTTCGGGCTTGGGGGTTTCGGGTTGAGAGGCCTCAACAGCATCCAAAATACACAGGCGGCATAGGCTGTTGCGGCGGTTGCGTCGCCAGCCACTGCTTGCCATGATCCCGGTTGGCGTAAGTACTTGCCGCCAATGGCTCCTCGTGCCTGGAGGGACCCTAGACCCGAAACCGCCTAATTCAAACCCTAAACCCTAAACCGTCGACCCTAAACGCTGAAAACACTCCAAAGGATGCTGCGACTGAGGGTTTGGGGCTTCGGGCTTCTGATCTCCGGCGTGCGAGTCCCAGGAACTGCGGATGTCCGCGCATGCACGGATGGTGTGAAGACTGAAACAAAAAAACTATGAACGGTTGCATACCCATATCTACATATACATGTACATAAGAACATAAACATTTCCATACACATATACATATAAACACATAGATATACATGTGTACATGTGTAGGTAGATGCATGTGTATGTGTATATATGTGTTATGTATATGCATGTATGTATGAATGTGTATATATATATAAATATAAGTAAGCAAAAATAAACAAATAACAAAACAATATGTATAGATGTAGACATGCGTGTGCGTAGCTGACTTACTTATATTCATTTAACTGATAGCAAACAGTATACACACACACATATATATATATATATACATATATATATATATACACATATAAACATATGTGTGTGTATGCACAAACATACAGTATTATCACAAAGAGACACACCTGGACCTATTACCTGTTTATCTGTCAGCTGTGTAATTGAGCAACATAATCGGGACATGAGCCATGTTAACATAACCTCAGGGGAGGAAAGGAGGAACCCTACACCCTAGGCCCTAGACCCTAAATTAAATGCCGGGTTCTACATGACTGGAATCTGAAGCAGAATCCTGCTAATCCAAGGAACGGAGTGTTGGGAACATCGAAAATCAGCGTCTCCTCCAAGCTGATCACGGGCTTCGCTGCCTTGGGAACCTGGACAGTGCATGCAAAACTACCTCATTTTAAAATACATCATTTTATAGCTGATTATAATATTTTATGTTATAACATAATATAAAACAACATATTATGACAGGTTTTGTTCTTCGATGTTCATACTATGTCTATGCTGTGTTATATTGAATAGTACTATGTTCTATTCTGTTCGTCGTGTTATGTTATAGTATACTACATTACATTGCATCATATTATTACACACAAGCCTCGTCGTCCTCTGTAAAGAGCTTCTGGATCCATCCCACATGGCTTGCCTGCTTCATGAGGGTCTGTGTGGCAGCTAAACCGTCCCGGCTGCTATCTGAAAGGTTGATGCTAAGGATACGGGTGCGGGTGTTGTTCATGATGCTTATAGTGCTGGTGGTGTTATCGCGGAACGAATTCCTGGCATGACATGAAAGGGGCTAAGAAGAGTGGTATAAACACAAACGACACGCAGAACAATCTTCCGAAGCACACCCAAATGCCGGGCACGAGAGGGCATTCTTGGCGATTTCCTCTGTAGCGCCCTGTCCTGGACTCGCGACATGGATGAAGGTATTGCGGACCTGAACGGCCTCTGGAGGGTATGCATGCTCATCGGCCGCATCTTGTGGGATGGAAATCTCTATGTGACTCTTCCCAAAGCGCGGCACGTGGCCGTGGGGAGGCGCAAGGGCGGCGGAAGCCTTCGCACCACGGATCTTCACATCCATGTCGTCCACGGCCGGTGACATTCTAGGCCAGGCTACGATCCTACAAGGCTTCAGCTCGGCGTATCTCTGTTCATGGAGCCGGCAAAGAAGCGGTTGGCGCCATGACAGCCAAACAGAAAACGACAAATCTCCTGATGTTTGAACACGAAATCGTCCCCAAACCGTGCCTTGGGGTTTAGAGTTAGATGTCGGCCACAAAACCTAGTCACAAGTCAGCCTATGTCTCCAGCAACAGTCGAAGACATAACTTAAAATTTGATGGCATTGGCATGTTCTGCCCTGAGATATCAAAATCGAAGGCAGATGGGCCCTGAAGCACGGCAGAGGTTCTGGCCCCTTCAATGCAGAAAACTACCATATACATCATGCATTGGCCCGAGTGGACTGCCTATGATGCCCTGAAACCCCACTATCAAAGATGACGATGGCATCTGTGAAGAGTACGAGGCAAGCCGTATAGCCGCCAGCCCTAAGCCCCAAAAACCCTGAACAGTCAAAGCCTACAGCCTCATAGGCCCTAAACCCTAAACCCAAACCCCTAAACCCTAGCCAACTGATAGGCTGAGTCCGAAGCAGGCCAGCCGCCAGGGAAGCCATGTCATTGGCTCCTCTGCTCTTCGGCTTAGATCTTATCGCTTCTTGTTTTTGATGAATATTATTGTTATTATTTTTTGAAATAATATTACTTACTTCTTGTTATTATTTTTTGAAATATTTTTACTTATTTCATTACTCCTTTGATAATTATTCATGGCATTAAGAATATTTTCAACTACTAGTCTCTATTTCTACTCGTTGCACTACACTGTGAAATGTTTGGAAGCTTTACCATATATATATATATATAGGAAGTTGTCTGCGTCTTGTTGAGGGTGAGAGGTGCCAGCCTCCATGTTTGCTAGCAGCAGGCCTGAGGCATAGTTCCTAGCCGGAGGCTATTTGAAACAAATGGGACTTTCCGAAAATAGGGGGTACCTTATTTTGGGGTTCTTATAATAAGGATCCTACTATTTAGGGTACTATATTAGGGTCCCCTATTTTCGGAAACCCCCAAATCATCTGCTTGAATTCCAGGGTTTTGGGGTTTAGGCATTGCGCTGCTGGAATCAGGAGCCCAGCAAGCGTTGTGTGGGTCCTTGAGGGCTCCTTCATTCCCGACCAAGGCCCAAGGCTCATAAGGCCTATCTAAACCGTTCTGGCCTTGAATTTGCTTGCCCGTGCAACTAGTCGGCATTCCGCTCCTGCACTGCAGGACATCTTTAATCTGTGCGGCTCTTAGACCTGCGTGCCTCAAAGCCCTATAAACCCAAAGCCACTATCCCGACTCCGGGTCTGTGCCAAGGCGCCGCACCCGGGGCATGGGTCTTTTGGGCGTGGGTGAGACGGAGGAAGGGTTCAGTGCCTCGGGCTTCGGAGCTCCGAGGTTGAGTTTTGAATCTATAGAACCCCATCTAAACCCCAAATCCTATACTCTTAAACCCTAGCCATAAACCCATCTAAACCCCAAATCCGATACTCTAAACCCTATAACCATGAACCCATCTAAACCCTATAAGCCCTATAGGCTTTTCGATTTTTTGTGCAACGTCTGGGAGCGACGACTCTTGCTTGGCCTTCCCCCGGGTTCGCTACTGGAAGGTCTCACCCGAAAACCGGTGAGCACCTTGAGCCGGACAGGAGAAGATGGTTTAGGACTTAGGGTTTAGGGTTTGGGGGATAGGGTTTAGGGTTTAGGGCTTGGGGTTTAGGGTTTAGGGTGTAGGGTTTAGGATTTAGGGTTTAGGGTTGCGCCTTGAGCCGGACAGGAGAAGATGGCCAAAGACCTCAGTCGAAACCTACAGCCCTAAACCCATAATTTATGCCTGAAGCCCTTAAATGTCGACTACTGCATCGCTCCAGAGGGCTCTTCAATGATGAAGTCATTGAATGTCCCCTGATTTGTTTAGTAGTCGTTGTACCGGCGGCGTCGTAAACACTACGACTTCTTCTTCTACTACTACTCAGACTTCTACTCCTGCTGCTACTCCTACTCCCACTACTAGTACTACTACTCATACTACTACTACTACTCCTCCTCCTGCTGCTGCTGCTGCTGCTGCTGCTGCTACTGCTACGACTACGACTACTACTCGTGGCCATGCACCCCTACTCAAACTCCTGCTGCTCCTACTCCTGCTATGCTACTGCTGTGCTGCTACGCTGCTACTGGTGCTTGCACTACTGTGCTCTCCTGCGACTGTTGTGGTACTTGTTAGCAGTAGACTTCAGAGTTAGGACACGCAGCTGAAATCTTCAGAGACATTTCTCCGATCCGCACCGGCACTTTGGGCTCGTTTGCAAAGCAAAGGCCCAAATAAAGGCCATGTGGTCCACGCAGTTTCCTTCCCCCGCAAGGCTAGCTTTAAGCGGTAAACTTTCAGACTTGCAGCTACAAACCCCCCGGGCTCTTCGAGGGTCTGCTTGCGCTTTTGGGGGGTTTAGGATTCAGAATGTCGGATCTCGGTATGAAGGCTTAGGCTGAAGCTTCGTGAGCATCTGGCAAGAGTGGCATGAGAGGTGTAACTACTGCTGTGACGCCACCGCAGTGGCCTTTTGCTAAACTGCTTTGGTAAAGAACCTGCTGAAACTTTTGGACCAAGTTACTTTGTGGCTAGGTTTATGTTTGGGATCAAGATCCCATGATGCCTACAAAGGGACATTGTTACTAGCAGAACATGCGACACGCCCATAGGGCAAGGAAAGGGCTGCTGATGCCTTTCTTATGCCTGGTAGGGCCTGGGGGACCGGCGGGGCCTGGGCTGCAGAAGCTGAAAGGATTCAGAAATTAAGACTCAGACGCTCCCCCTCGCCTTTCCCCACAAGGCATAAGTAAGGTGTTGGTGAAACGCCTCGCCTCAGACCACGTCCCAGTCATGGGTGAGTATAAACTGTTTTCACTTAACGGGGTAGGAGGATTTCGGTGTCATCGTTAAAGCCTCTAGCGTTTCATCCGGCTGCTGGCTCGCAGATGTGAGAACCAGAGAACTTAATCCTCTTGATGCGGACCAAATGCTGGTGCGACAAGAAGGCCCAAAAACATGTGAGAGAATTTTGGGTTGGTTCGACTGCGTTCCAATGTTGTTGAGTGACTTTACGGCTGGTAGGGTTCCAGCATGTTGTGTTCTGTAATCGGTTAGAACTGTTATAACCCAGTGTTGCAAACATGTCACGCGGCGAGTTGCTCAGCTTGAAGATGTCTTGTCGAAAATCTCAAAACGGCTGCACCCCAACCACTCGCAGATAATAGAGAATTCCAACCACCGTTGATAGGCCGCTTGCACTTCCAACAAGTCTCTCCATGTACCTTGCCCACTAGATGCATCGTAATGTTGATGTGTTGATATTCACCCCTCGCGTTTATGCTCTAGTCAAAACCCTAAGGGTCCAAGCACATAATAATCATATACTCTTCTGAATACTAACCTACAAAACGACTATCCGTAAGCCAAGTACATGATTATTAGGTCCTTTGGACCCTTAGGGAAAAGGAAAACTACTACCAGACTGTCTTCCCTGCTAAAGACGTGCTAACTGCCCAGTTCTGGGGCGATCCGGAACATGCTGATGCAGAGCTGTTGGCAATGGATCAGTGCCAGAAACGGCTACAGCTAAGAGCCACGGAAGCCTGCGAAAGTCGGTCTCTGTAATTACGGTAGAGTTCGGCACACTTCCGCGTCCGCGAATTTCGGATGCAAGCTGTGAAAAGCTGCAGGTGCACAGTTTCCAATACATCCCATCATGTCGTCGTTGCATTCCACATGCATGGTATGTTGGTATACGTACATCTGCACACCGAAAAGGCGTGCATGTGTGTGTGTGTGTGCGCGCATATGTGTGCACGTAATTGCTGCTGGATTGATGAAATCGGACTGACGACTGCCTCCTGCTGAACAGAAATATTGAGGCTGTTGAAACCCATTGATCTTGTCAGCGGGGTGTTTGGAACTCTAAACCCTTAACCCATAAACCCATACATAAAACCATGAAACTCGTAACCCCTTCCTAAGCCCGAAGAGCTCTAGACCCTTTACCCTAAATCTCCCAGGTACCTACTATATAGGGTACTAGAGCCCCTAGGGCCTTTAGAATGCCGAAGCCCAGAAGATCCTTAAACCGAACTGACATCTTCCAGCGTTGCGCCCAGGGCAGCAGATTCGACCTTGGTGGCCGGGGGGGGGGCGGGGGGGCTTTGTAGTTAAGATGGTTTTAGGCGAATCTAGGTGACTTATAGGTGGAAGAAAGTTTTGTCAGTACTTCCCAGCTTCTGGGGTCGAGCTGCATGATCCAGTCAGAAGAAAAATTGGATGAGGCCCATTTGCCACAGTAATCAAATCACCATGTTTGGGGTATTTCATACATACTGGTCTGCAAAAGTAGGATCCGGTTTCGGAGCACAATGTAGTCTAGTTGCAGTTTAGCCATATCGGGATGAAAAAGGCATTTATTATCCGCAAATTCAATATTCAACTCCTAAACACAAGACACGGTTCAAAAGCGAGATGTCGATCAAAGCAGGCGCTGCAGGACGCGATTGTCAGGAGACCCCCACCTCTCCCAGCACGCAGCCTCCTGCTTACCTCTCCAGCATTTAAGACGTAGGGGGAAGTAAGGCCTCCCCTGCGGCCCTGGTAGGGTATATAAACTACTTACAGGTTGGAGGGGCTGCATAAATCTAAGCAGTATCTATATGCCCTAACAAAACAAACAACACCTATCCGAAGTATCTCGCAGCCACTGCTAAGGAGCAGACTTTGCTGTTGGTCAGGTCGGCTCTGCAAAGGGGACAGGTGTGATTCACCTGGCGAGACCATGTGGCTCAATCTATAGGGTTTATAGTAGCAGCGTTGGAAGGAAACTCAATAGCCTCAATCCTTAAGCGTAATCTGAAGGGAATTTCAGCACTATTTGTCCGTCTCACTTCAGCTTTCGTTGGACGGATTGGCCGTCGAGAATCAGGAAGT